ATTTTCTCGAGAAAGGGTATTAAGATCGTAGTCTTAATGAGTTTCAACTGCTTTTGGGAGAAGAAAATGTAATGTAATGAAACATTAGTAGTATTTTTACATTAATTATTAAAATACAGAATTGTTTTATGGAACTTGATAGGGACATTCACCCAAGATTTTAGTAAACATGCAAGACTTTGGAACGCTTTAAATGTAACCATCACCGGTTCATAAATCTTGGCTTACTAAAGAGATTGTAGTACCCTCATCAAAGAACAAAACCCTAACAGAGTTTGTAAAATCATATTTGGTTTCCTAGCTGAGAAATCGCAGCTTACTCTTGGACTTAAAATCAGGATCCAATCCAGAGTTCAGATCTTGATTTATAGTCTGAAATGTCATCAGTTTCTTAGCTTGGCCATAACTTTTTATACCAGTGCACAGTTATGGTGCTTACTCTAATAACCATTATTTCTTTGATCAAGTCTGTTAAGTTTGAATCAGCCCTTTGACTGAATAAGAAATTTAGCACAATTCTACTTTCATGTCCACATAGTGACAAAGTAAATCCCTTGAAAATATATTAGCAGAAAGTCTAAGCAGTGACTCCAGTGGTACAAGTACAGAACTGCTTTACTTAGCACAAATACAAACTGCTTCCATGGCTTACTCCATAGTAATATTTCTTTCTTAGGGAAAGAAGTAAGATTTCTTCATAGTAAGGCTTCTTTCTTACTTCATTTCTTAGAAAAAGCAGATTCTGTGTTGGTCCTATGTACATCTTTCATGATAGTAGTCAGATAACTGAAAATTAAGGAATAAGCTAGTCATTAACACTGCTGTCATGGTGATACATTTCTGCTTCTTCTTTAACAATGTCTTGTACTCAATCAGACCAAAGGACTATTGAGCCAATCATTCTGTTCCAACAATAGCCAACCAGTTGTCTATGAGGAGCTCACAAAAGCAAGACATGTGGGTAGCAGTGTCCAACAACTAATAGACAGAGACATACTGCCTCTGCTACTGGAGGGAATATATAGCCACCCTGACTAGTAGCCATTGATATAATTATCCCCCATGAATATGACTAATCCACTTGTAAATTCATCCAACTTTGTGGTCATCACTACTTTACCTATTGCCATATGAAGAAGTTTTTTTTTTTTATCTGTCATGTATTTATTTATTTAAAACATTTCTATGCCGCCCCATCGCAACAAAGCCTCGGGGCGGCTCACAACACATAAATAAATACAGAAGTAATAAAATAAATAAATACTAAATTATACTGAATGACCGCAAGCACTAGTATTATAAGAGAGGGACAAAAGCTACTCCTTTTACACTTGCTCCATATCACGTGTATTTTATAGACTGCTAACATGTCTCCCATTACTAGCCCCTTCATAAGCTAAACAGCCCCAAATGTCAAAGCATTTTCTCACCGGAGAGATTCTCATTTTGGTTGCTCTTTCCTGTACCTTTTTGAATTGTAACATTCATGTTGAGGTGCAGTGACTAGAACTGTACACACTATTCTGTATGCTTGCACAAAAGATCTGCTTTACGACAATTCCACCCAAAAGATTGCCAACAAGGAATTCACCTTGCCTTTTTCATAGCAGCCATGCACTGGGTCAAAGTTTACACCAAGTTATCTACCACCACAACCAGAAGGTCCCTTCTCTGGTCCATCTGCACCAATTCAGACCCATCAGTAACATTTGAAATTATTTTTTTGCCCAAATGCGTATCACTTAACACTTGCTAATACTGAATCACATTTGTTATTCCTCCAGTCTGAAGACAGCTATGTCAATCATCCACTCAAAGTGGGACTGGCAAAAAGGACAAATATTTTAAATGTGAGGAGTAAAAAAGGGTGGGGAAGCAACTGATTACAATAAATATATTTTCTGCAGTGTATGGCAGGGTTTGGCAAACAATAACATGCTTCACCATCTTTTTGTACAGTGAAATCTGGTTTCACGTACTTAACCCTTACAACCTAAAACAGCAGTGACCTCAAAACTCATTTTCCTGAGACGCAGTTTCGGTTAAGACAGTAGGTTGTAATTCCATGGAAGGGGACTTGACTTACAACATGGGCTTGTTTGGGTTAGCAATTCAGGGTTCATTGTTGAGTTTTTTAGAGTCTAACTCATAATTCCTGATTTGTACATAACAAGCCAAAAGCCAGGCAAACAGAACTGAACACAGGAGGAATATATGAGTTGAATGCTTCAGCTTCATAGAGGTTCACTCACATCTCACTAACCCATGGTTCAATGTTACATAATAACAAGGTTACTGTGACAGTTACCTGCCACCTGTGAAGCAGCACAGCATGCATTGGTTGCATTCAGAACCAAAATCTTTCACAGACACATACTTATACACAGAACTAAAAACTACTCTGATGTGAAAGTCTGGTTAGCTGACAGTCATGCCATTGTAAGAACTGCATATTTGCATGTTTCACGCTCTTCTGAATTTATCTATTTATTTTTTAATTAATTAATTACATTTATACCCTGTCCTATTGCTTTAAGTGCTCAGGATGGCTTACAAAGTATAAAACTACAATAAATATAAAACTACCATATAAAACATTAATTATTAAAACAATATAAAACACATCATAAAAAAGGAGGAAAAAATAGAAAATGCAACTGTGAAAGAGGAAAACCCTAAAACGTTTAAAAGCATTAATTGTTAAAATAATGATTGAATACAAAGGTCTGTATTTGAGTGTCTGTTCGGAGACTACTGCAGTTAGCAATAGCCAATTGCAGAAGGGAAACAGGAGCAGCTACTACACAAGAATTTATCAAATGACCTATTATGAATTCAAATAAGTAGGCTGCCACTTACTAAAGGGCATTCTAACTTTTATTTAGTATCTGGTACTATCTGACTATGGAGAAGCTGACCAGTAAATTAACTAGCACTACCATCTCTATTCTACATTTATCATTTCACTGGATATTACCATGCATAATATATCTGAAGGTGTCACACTCAATCCTACTTTTGGAAACAAGATTAACTGATCATTTTATAATAGAATGTGGAAAGAGAAATTCTTTCATGAAGCTGTAACAGAACAGTCTAACAAAACTGAATACTTGTAAGTTCATAACAGAGAGAAATAATGATAATGAAGAATGTTATGATTCCTTAAAGATAAGGAATTAGGTAGCACACAGAAAATGCCTGGTCGAGCCTCCCAAGATGTCGCCATATAGATTTGGTTCTACACATATCTGGTTTTAGCAGGAACTATAAATCCTGATGAATGCATTTCTCACATAGTCAAGTCTATATGGACATGCCTTAGGATCTTCAACCCTCTTCTACTTGTTACTCAATACACACAATCCAGGAAACTCTAGGTACACCACTGTTTGACCACTGCTATTATCACAATTGAGATGTCTGGTCATATGAGACCATATGACACAAAATCTGACAAAGGCTTTGACAAAGTTTCACAGGGACTTATACAACTTTCACCCTCTCAATCAGTCTTGACAATCAGCAACAAGTGTACAACTACATAATAGATATATTAGCACAACCTTACACTGAAAATCTACTGACCATTACATATACTTAGGTGCTTTTATGCAGAATATGCCACAGAACATACTATCTACAGAAGAACTCCACAATACAAATTTATCTTTCAAATTGACTGAACAGATGTTTACAACTTAAGTCAGGTATTCCTCAGACTTTAGTGTTCACCCAACAAAATGAAAATATAGATCACTAAGTTCCTAGTATTCACAAACATTATACTAAAGGACAGCTCTGCCCCCTAAAGCAGACCTACTTGCTGCCGCTTAGAGTTACCAGGTAAAACCACTCGAATATTCACTCAAACGTATTAGTGATTCATCATCCATATGACAATTACACATCCTTCTCAAATGCTTCGGGGGATGGGCCTGTTCTTATTACTGACAGTCTCCCAATTTAAAACAGCTAACCATCAGCAGCAGACCGCACAGCAGAGAGGCAAGTAAAGGAATCAGAGCCTGTGACAGACAAGAATGCCTGCCTACTCTAACCCAGCTCTATTCTGGCATTAACGACATCAAGCATTCATATAAATGCTCAGCTTCCAATGTCATATATGCCATTACTTGTCAGCAGTGACCTTCCACATTCTACATAGGACAAACAGGCTAGTTTGTATACAAAGAATAAATGGACATAGATCTGATATCAAACATAGCAATATTAAAGATGGACCAGAAAACCCTTCAGCTTCCCACAACACTCAGTCATTAAACTTAAGATAGACATTCTTGATGGAAGGAACTTCAAAGACAGATTCAATGTAAAATATGTAAGCATTATTGTTCCCTCCTGGCATTTGAATAGGAACAACCCATAGGTCCAAGTACAACAGTTCCCACAGGATGCCAGAGGCTTTCCAAGGCAGCGATCCATTGTCTCCAACAAAGGCTTTGAGAAACTTTCCAGATCTGAATTCAGTGGTCTCTATGGTTATCTATTCTACCATCCTGACAGGGAAACCTGTTCCTCAAGCTGACTGAGTCTTTCTCTTGTGCTGACAGCAGACCCAAGGAGACATCTGAAACACCTTCTCCTACAAAGCACACTTTCTGCTTCCAACAATGATGTCACTGGCTGATCAGCAGGCTCCTCTGTCAAAGTAGAGTCTTTCAACTGAAGAGGATTAGCTGTTATCAGTCTCCAGTATCTACCTGGTCTCTTAGTCACTAGCCTAACATGATCAAAGTGAATCACTGGAAGTCCAGTTACCCACAGCTGGCCTGGACACTCCCCATCTCTTTCTCTAAGCCCAGATACTGTGTCTCAGGTAGTAGCTGTACTTGAACTGGGACAAGATCTCACACAGTTCACACATAATGGCAGCAAATCACTAATTAACTGTGGATTGTTAATTAACTGTGTAACCAGGTTTGCACATCATGGAATAATCAGTGATCACAAGTTGCATATTAAAAATGTATATTTACCTGGGATGTGTGGTGCCACCATTTTGAGTATGCAACCTCCAAATGAAGGGCATTCTGTGACATGCAAACCTAGAACCTACAAGCAAGCTGTAATTAGTTCTTCTGTTAACTCTGCTTTGTTGTATAATTACTCATGATTAAGCAATACTGTCTGGGCTTGAATGTCTTCATACAATCTCTGAAGAGGATGCTGCTATTTTGAATAATCTGCTACAAATCACTGGGCATCTAGCTAGAAAATGTCATAGAATCGTGAACTAGATGGCCCTTTGGTCTAATACAATAAGGTACGTATGGGGCACAGAATGAGAGAAAAACTGTAGGCAGATAAATCTAATTCCTTTAGTTGTCAAAAAGGCATAGAGAATCTATTTGCACTGGCTGTATATTAACTTCCAGGTACAAAGAAAATAATTTAAAAGTACATCAGTAAATATTGAAGTGTTTCATTACAGTTTATTATATGCATTCTTTCTGTACCACTAGTATTTTAAATCTTTTAAGGTATCTCCATATAAATATTAAAAGAATGAAATCCAATTTTTAAACATTCCATTACAACATTATAAAGCAATACAATGAGCAATAAAGTTAACAACATGGTTTATTTAATTACAAGCCAGGGAAAGCCAAGGGTGTTTTCAGAAAGCCAAATGATGCAAAATTTTCCATGTGATGCACATTGCTTCCAAGACAACCTGTGACTGATGTATAATACGGAAACATTCTTATAATATTGGAATAACTAGAAAGGCCCCCTCCAACTATCTTAACAACTGGCTGGGTACATGTTTATTTTAAACTTTTATAGACTATCACAATAACCACATGGCTCTCTGGATGGTTTAAAGCAATTTAAAATCCAATGAAACAAAAACCTAAAAATCCTTAAGGTATTATAAATAAATTCAATAAATAAAACCGTCAACTTCATCAGCAGGGACAGCAGTCATGTTGAACTCATTCAGTGGCCAGATCAAACACATTTTATATTTTATGATACCATTGCAATTTTAAAATTCATAAATTAAAATACTAACTTAAAATTAGAATTAAAAAATAGAATCAAAGCTGTCAATTAAAATACTCAGAAAATTTAAAAAGTCTTTGCTTGGTGCTCAAACATGTTGAAGGTAGGGACCTGGCACCTATCTCTGGGAAGCTGATTCCAAAAATGAGGCACCACAACTTGAAATGGCCCCACACCAAGCAGCCAACTTCCTAGCATCCTGTATATGCAGACACATAAAGGAATGTTTTCTGCAGAGACCAAGCCTAAAATATTCAGGGCTTTGAGTGACACTAACATAACCTTAAATATGCCTGAAGAATCCTGAATTTAATTTACACTGTACAACTAAAAAGAGGTCCACTACACTGCTTTTGAGGTATTTGGGAGGGTTGAATGAAGGCTCCTTAAACAGGTCATGGCAAATCTAGAATTCGGGGGTAGTTTCTTCTATCTTGTGGAATAGATTTATTCTGTATTACAGACAGTACTATGAACAAATGGTACGAACTCCCATTTTCCCCCATTAGAACATATGACTAGGCAGGACTGTCCACTTTCACCCCTACTTTTTGTAATTGTATTAGGAATATAAAGCAACTAATTCTAATTTGCACAAGGTGAATATTCAAAGACAAATCTCATCTTTTAAAAGTCTTTTTGCTGATGATATATTGGCTATGTTACAGAACTCAGCAACAACCATCCCAGAACTTAAAGCCATCTTAGTAGCACTTCATCAAGTGGCTGGTGGAGAATGAAATAACCCAAAGTCTGAAAGATTATGTCTGGATACACTCCTGGAAAGATAGCTTGCATTGAAATACAGTGTGGGCTGATACTACACCTAAGATGCTTTAAGTAGGGAGGGATATTTATATACAAACATTCTTAAAATATTACAAATTTTCTAAAATAAAAAATCTAATTCAGTCAGGGGAGCTAAGGAAGGGAATCCTGTCAGAACTGTACATTATGATGCTAAGCATCACCACAAGGGACTTGAATAGCTTGTGTCTGGGAGGCTGATTTAGTTTCGCTAATAAACGCAAGCTGGAGAGCACTGTGGTCATGTTTCTCCTTCCACCCCATTTCTGCCAGACTGAGAGAGAATGAGATTAAAGTGATCCAGAGATGGCATTACACTCAACTCAGATTACACTGCATGTACACCTCTTTACCCCACAACTGTTGGTGAAGTTGTAATACTACAGAATCTTCCATGCACTTGTAGCAGGAATGTTCCAGGGTTTTATGTTCTAGTCTCAGCTTTTTGGAATAATTTCAGTTATTTTTCATGAACTGTTAGCGCCAATCTGCTATTTCCTCTACCATATATTTATGACAATGTATGCAAAAAAGAATCTACAAGGACTTGCTAAAGTTTTTGTTAGCAGCAGCCTGTTTAGAAATCACTTAACACTGGACCTCATCCATTGGTTTCACTTTACAAAGTTGGCTAATGAACCTCTGGCAGAGTACTTCAGACATCACCCTGAACAGCAAACATCACCCTGAACTGAGCCAAAGAGACGGCTTTGCAGAATCTTGGTCTCCTTTGAGACCCTTAGTTTACTGACCATTTTACTGCTATATTTAAGGCATTTTACTTATAGTTTTTTTAAGCAACAGCACAGGAATGTCTACAAATGTATCCAATCAGGGAAATGAATACAATATAATCTATAAAAGTAAAATACTGAAATCCTAAACCAACTCACTGAAATTAGTTTAAGTGCTTCAGAGTTAAATAATGGATACTGGAATACTGGATTGGTAGTTAATAAGAATCCAATACAATTCTTTTAGCGCAGATCTTATGAAAATATAGGATGTCCCAGTAAGCATTCTAGATCCTACATCAGTTGCAGCTTCTGAACCAAGGACAGCATCAAATAAGAGTGCATTGTAGTAGTCTAATCCTGAGATTACCAGTGCATGGATTACCATGGCTAGATTACCTCTAGAAACAAGCATATCTGGCGTACCAACTGAAGCTGGTAGTAGAATGCTCTGGATCAGTGAGGGTCCGTGACAAAGAGGGATCAGGCACACTCCCAAACTACACAGATGCTTCTTTAAAGAGTGAAACCCCATACAAAACAGGAAAACAGCTCAATTTCCAGGCCTATGAACTGCCGAACTACAGGGTCCTGGTCTTACCAGGCTTCAGTTTCTGTTCATTAGCTCTCAAATCAAGCCGTAACCACATACAGGCATCAATTCAGAATGTGCGCAACCCAGGGTGGATAAAAATCATTTTTAAATTAAAAAACCCAGATTTTAAAATTTATATTGATTTTTTTGCTTTAAATTGGATTTTTAATGTGTTTAATAATGTTTTATTTTTTTAAAAAATAAAATGTTTTCTGAGGAAAAATCTATCTAAAGATAGTTTCCTGTTCAAGATACATTATAGTCCAAAGGTTATTCTTCATGAAATAAGGATTAGTTTTTAATTATCTAGCATGAGGCTGTATATTCATGCAATGTTTTGGTAAATGAATTCTATTAATCCATTCACACCATGCTCTTCCAGAGGTTTCTGTAAGATTATTGGGCTATTTTTCTATCTAGAAGATATTATGAGAAACGTTTGGTTTTATAATTTTCAAAACTGTGAATTTTTGCCTGCAGAGATCACATGCCTCTTCACAGCAAAAATCTTATAAAATAAACATACTGGATCAAAGGAAAAAACCCTTGTACACAGAATCAACCCCTTACCTCTTAAGTGCTAAGTTAAAAAAAAAAAACCTCAATGAATTTAAGATTGTTGGGAGTGGAATAGATCTGCACAAGAAGCTAAGTGAGAGGAGGGAGGGGCAAGCAGTAAAAATGAAAGTGACACCTTTTGAGCATAATACTCCACAGGCCCTTGGCTCTTTTTGTGTATAGGTTAAAGGTTTATCATATTATTCTTTCCCTGGAGAAGAAAATCTGCAATGGCAGCAGGCTGCAAAAGATATCCAGTTTGGGAACATTTTATTGAAGTTCCTCTACCCATGGGTAAGGCATACATGCATACAAATTCTGTAGAAAACCATGATTTAAATGTACTCTTACTAGTAAGAGTAGATTTACTACTTACTAAATAAAATCCACCCTGGAAAACCTCACCAAGAAAAAGTGGTGGATATCAGTGTACTGGTGGCATTCTGCTCCAAACCTCCTGATGACTTCCTATCTGTATTACTATCTGTGGCACCCCATAGTTCAGCAGTCATGATAGATTGTAAAAATATGAGGCAAACTGCTCAAACTATTCCCAAGGCATCTGAAGAAAATGAGCAGCGAGAGTTAGAAAGACAGATATACCACCCTATCATCTCTTACCACCTTATTTACAGATTTCTGAATAAACTAATCATCAATCAGAAGGCGTATTTAGAAATGGAGATGAAATCAATTGTTCTAGAACACATGAAGAGTCAGCAAAAGTGGGAAAAGAACCAAAATTCTTGTTAATTTTCACTAAAACCAAGAAAAAAGTTACTATAAATATTTCATAAGCAGCTTTTATTTATTATATTTAAAATTAATTACAGCTTTTACACATAAGGCAGCAATAGATTTAACATTTCAACAACAAAAATTCCAGCATGATAAAAATTACAATTCAGTAATATTCACTTAATTACTCAACCAAAATCCAATCATTACCATAAGAGTTAAGATGTCATATTAATTTCTTATATATGGGTTAACACACGTTTTTCTTCTCTGCACTAGATTTACAGGAACAATGTTGCATGGAGTAGATTACAAATAATCTTCATTCAACATTAAGCATTGTCTGAATATTCACACAAATGAGGGTAAAGGAAGAGATTTTATAAACTTCATTTAGGTGAAGTCAAGTAATGCAGCAGAAATCCACACAAAGAATGAATCCAGTCCATAGCAGGAACTTTTAGAATCCTAGCTCCCATTTTTAATACATTTCTGGTTCCTACCATTGCACTCAGCTACCTAGCACACCTGCATGTAACAGTGGCAAATTGTAGATGAAGTAACCAGTGAACACACAACGTGCCAGGTTATAGGACACATAACCTTTAACTGGTTATTGATCACAGGTTGCTTCATGATATGCAAAACTCAACACTACTGAATATTTAGGGTTCAACAACCCAAGAATTTTAAGTTACTTTTAAATTGTTTAGAATAAAGTGAATACTTAAATTTCATAATTATATCATACTATTTTAGTAAAATGTGCCATGATAGTCCAGTTAGTAACATGTTATACGAATCAAGTTAAGCACTATATTGTATGAAAAATAACGAACTCTTCACTAGGAATGCTGAGTTGTAGACCTCCAATCCCAGTCTATTCAGCCACACAGTATTCTGTGGAAGAAAATTGGTTTGGACCAGTAGCTGAATAATATTTTCTTTTCTCTTTGTCTTTCTCTTTACACAAGTACAACCAATTATAAATATGTACTCTTCATACTAAGCTAAATTGATGCATATCAGAAGTTATATTGAGTTAAATGGATTCTCAGTGTTTTAAAGTATTCTTCTATTGTTTTGGAAGGGATCATATTGAAACTTTTGATGTGGCTCTTCATTTTGGTTACCATCTAAAGTCATTAACTGGTTCAGGTATAGATTGCCTAGTTTTTCCTGAATATTTTAGAAGAGACTGACAATATATTAAATTGAACAACAAATCTATCAAATTATCATGAAATATTTTAATGGATTTCTATTATCAAAGCAGAATATGGCATTCCTCAGCACACTGTTCAAAAAGATTTCCCTATGGTCAACATCATCCTGGTCCTTTTGCCTACCATGCCCCTGTGTCGACCTCACCCCACCAATAAAAATAATCCAACATTCTTTGGCAATTGGATAATCAAACTCATAAATAAATCCATGCAAATATATTTGCATAATTTATGTTTTTATTTTTGTACAAAGCAAACAATGCAAGTTCAAAAATTTTCAAAATGGGCAATGTACCAGTGTTGTACTTCTCCTCAGAAAGTTTTTCATGTCATAAATTCATTAATAAAAATTAATGGATACCAACTGCAAACCTTGGCAGTTTCAAATTGGTAATGAACATTTTTCAGCTGAACAAGTATGTGAAAGGTGTGTGTGATTGGTTTAAATGCAAAACAGGTAAGAAACAAGAGGAAAAACTGATGCTGCACCAACAGCCTTAGTGGAAGAAAGCTGAATTCTTCTGAAATAGATGAGTGGTTATTAGTATTTAATGCATGGCACTTTGCATTGCTAAAATAAGTGCACAACAGTTTTTAGTACCTTTCCCCCTTTAAATCTGATCAACTTCAATTCATGTACAATAGTCTCTTTAAATCATCAATAAATTCTGTCATATAATGGGGCTGTTCACTTATAATGACAACCCATATGTTTAAAAATGAGAGGGGGAGAGCAACCCAACAGCAAACCATGGTTTAGCTACTAGGCTGTTTAGCTCCTTAAGCAACCCAGTGGTTTGAATTCTGATATCAAACAATGCTAGAAAAATTGTGGGTTGCTGAGTAAAAGCTGAAGAGATGAATTTTTAAACTAATGGGTTCTTAAGTGTAAAATTGATCAAAATGATGCTTAGCTTAAATCACAAATCAAATATTTATGTACTGGGGCAAATTAATAGGGAGTACTTTTTCCAGCTTTGCTGTTAACTAAATACATGTAAAATAAAAGTGACCAGATGATGACGATGGTGATTATTATTATTAATTTAATTTCTATACCACTCCATAGCCAAAACTCTCTGGGCGGTGGGCAACAATCTATAAAACAGACAATAAAAAAGCAATAAAATACCATAAAGTCAGAAAAAACATTAAAAGTTTAAAATAGTTAAACCCAACAATAAGAAAGAATTACTTTGCAAAGCACCTGTGATGGGTAATCCCTCTCAAGCCCCTGGTGGCTCAGTAAGTCTTTTAAGGCCTCGGAGAATAGGGCTACCTAACTTGGCACAGAAAAGATGACAAATCTCTGCCAGGCAGGTTGCAGTGGGGTGTTTATCCCATAGATGGAGGGGGGGACCACAGAGAAAGCCCCTCCTTGTTGCTATCCTCCATGTTTCCCTCAGAGTTGGAACTCAGAGAATGAGCATAGTGTCCAAATATACTGTGGCTGGGAAAGATGCTCCAACAGGTATTGAGGTCCCAAGCAATGTAAAGCTTTATAGATTAAAACCAGCACCTTGAATTGGGACCAGAAGAATACAGGCAACCAATGCAAGTGGGCCAGAACCAGTCTTATGTGTATGGACCTGTGGGATCCAGTTATTAGCTTCTGAACCATGTTCGAGGGTAGCTCTACATAGTATACACTGAACTAATCTAATTTAGAAACTACCAGACAACTGAGCCAGGCTATCCCTGTCCCAATAGGGGCACTAACGGCCACAGTCAAAAGTGGTAGAAAGCACTCTGAACCACTGAAGCCACCTGAGCCTCAAGTTATAAAGATGGCTCAGAGAGCACCCCAAGCTATGAACCTGCTTCTCTGGGACAGTGTAACCCCATCTAGAACAGGCTGAACACCCTCCATCTGATCAAAGCACCACCAACAGCATCTCAGCCTCATTTGTATTATATTTCAGTTTATCAGCACCCATCCAATCCATTGCTGCAGCCAAATACTTTTTAAAGACAAATCCACAGCCTCACCAGCTGTTGAAAAAGAGACTATAGAGCTGCATGTCATCACCATACTGGTAGCAACACACCCCAAAATTCCAATAACCCCACTCGGCAATTTCATGTAGTTGTTAAATAGCATAGTTGTTAAGTAGCATGGGGGACAGAAGAGATGCCTAAGGAACTTCATGCTGGACAATCCAGAGGGCTGAACAGTATTTCCCAAGCACCACCTTCTGAAGACAGCCCTCCAAGTAGGAACAGAACCACTGCAATGCAGTGCCCTCACTACCAACTCAGTCACCCCAGAAGAATACCATGGTTAATGGTATCAAAAGCCACTGAAAGGTCCACAAGTATCAACAAGACTGCACTCTATTTCTCTTCCAGCAAAGGTTATTATACAGGACAACACAGGCTGTTTCTGTGCAAAAACCAGGCCTGAACCACAACTGAAATGGAGTCAGATAATCAGTCTCATCCAAAAGTTCCTGGAATTGATTGGCAACCACCCTCTCAACTACCTTTTCCAGGAAAGGAATATTTGCTACTGGCCTAAAGTTATTCAGATCTTCTGGGTTAAGGGAGCTCTTCCTCAGAAGTGGTTTCACCACTGCTGCTGAATAAGACAGTTTGGCACCAAAGAGGCATTTACTACTGCATGGCCCAGCCCATTATTCCTTTCTTGCTGTCTTTTATAAGACAGGAGGGGTGAGGAGCGTTTTCAGTTAATTGCATCTTGTATGGGTATGCTCATTTTTTTTTAACCTGTTAACCACCCAGAAAGTCTTGGCTATTGAGCAATATAAAAATCAAATTCATAAATGAATAAAAAATAAGAATCCAGTGCAAATGTGGTTGCACGAATTTGATCAAGTACCCACTCAAAATCCTCAAACTGTACCATTGAAACTCATCCAATAAAACTGGACCAGGCTGAGTTCTGCATATCTCCATAGATTCAACTGCTTTTACTCTGAAGCCCAAGTCCCAGTCCAAGACTCCCATCAAATATAGCCAATGGTAGGGATAATGAGTTTTAGGTCAATATAACTGGAGGACCACCACTTGCTCACCCCTAGAACATTAGAGCATTTTCTAATGCAAACTGAAACTCCTCCTATTCAAGCGGCCCTAGTTTGCATAGAAGCTTTACCAGAAAATGTTACAATTCACAATATTCTAGAAGACCCACCCCACTGACCACAAGTCTTCCAGTAATTCAGATAAAATTGGGGAGCTCTTTTCCCAGTATTATATGAACCCATGGACCCAAAGAGCTTCATTTTAAGCCTGAGTTCCCAACACCAACCAAATGAGGATGTCATTCAAACAAGATTACCTTTCTATTCCAATTAATTTAACTAAACTGAACTATACAGCAAAATAACCCACCAGCTATATAGATCTCCCAACTATGCTGCTGTGTACGAAGACTCTGCCACAAGACTGAAGACTATTAAAAAAAATTAAAATTTAGCATCCAAATCTTATACTGTAAAATAATGATTTGAACTAAGTTTCAGTGAGCAAAATTCCACTTACAGGATGTTTGAAGCAGTGGGGAGGGGGGAGGGGTTCTCCTTGATTCTTTCTTCTCCCTGCAGCCTGAAAAGGCTGCTTGAGAAGAACCCGGGGGAACTCTCTAGAACAGCATGGGTTGGCTGCAGAAAGAATCAGTGTAAATTCTTTGTCCACTCCCATTTCCTACACTAGAATTTGTCTCAACCAGATAAAATCATAATGCTCAGAAGTTCCAAAAGAACCTCCTTCCCAGAAACCCTAATATTCCTATATCCTTCTTATGTGAAAAGGAAATATGACACATTACCTTAATGCAGAGTTTATCTTTCTCTATTTTCCTCCGGTTATTACTTTCTAATCTCCATTTTTGACAATAGTAAAGTATCAATCTGTAAGAGAAGAAGATATTAAATGAGAATCAAACTAGAATGCCAAAGGAAAAAATACTGTTCCAAATATTTCCATTTCAGCATATGCAATTACAACTTATTTATGTCCTGCATTTTTAAAAACTGTTTTCTAAACATGTTTGAACACAAAAGCTATCTTATGAGGTGAAACTCAAGATTCATTTTTTCCAATAGTAGCCAGACTAATGCTGCTGGAAAGTTTACAAGCAGACATGAATACATTAACCATGAACTGAATAATCATTTTTTGTGTATAGCATCATGCATTTTAACACTCTAACAATAAAGACTGTAGTCAGTTGTCCCGGCTAAGACCTATAGGTAGAGCCATCCTTTGTGAATTCTGTCTAACAAGCATCTTGCTCAACCCTGCCTCACTTCTAGCATTGTTTCTTACAGTGTAAAAATGTCTTCATTAACTTAGTGCCCACCTAAAGTGCTGGACTACAACTTTAATCAACCCCAGTCAACATGCCCATGCCCACTGGCCTTATCAGTGGGGTGATGGGAACTGTCATCTCCCACATCAAGAGGACACCAGGCTGGGAAAGGCTAGTGTAAACAATGTCGAAAATACTGTGTTTGAGATGATTCAGAAGTTTCTGACAACAACTGCAACCAATGTTTCTATTCCGATAGCATAGGCTGCAACTACCAAGTTTTTAAAAATCTTATTTATTCCTCTCTGCAATACTGAACAGATCAAAAGTAGAGGAAACAGGAGACTACCAAAAAAGGAAGTCCTGATGGTCCCCATTTTCCCAGGTGCCTGGTAACCTCCAAAAGCCACAGGAAAAAGGAATGCAGAAATAAAAAGAACCCCCTTCTTGTTATCACTATTTAAGAGTATCCTAAGTAAAAATAAGATTTTCTTGATCTGTATCTTATTATTCTACATGTATCATTATTAAAAGCAAATACAGTTAACTAAACCATTATTGCCTAAATTTTACTTTTAAGTTTAATATACCTATCCCCATAATTTTACAAGCCAACATAGTTACACATTATACATTTTAGGTTCCTTTTTATGTCTGCCTATGGAGAACTTCAGTAAGTTGTCCCACAAACAGCTGAACCATCTTAGAAGGTAAAACAACCAAGAGGAACTAGAGGCAAAGGGAGACAGTTTTAAGTATATTTTCCTATTTGTGAGGAACAGGCTGGGATGGAGTTTACCAAAGGGGAAGCAAAGCAGAAGTGGACAAGCAGGTGGGAGACAGTACTCTTGTTCACTCCCACATAATCCCAATTATTGTCTTAAAGAACCCATGTGTTACAGAACAAGCCTAGAGAGGCAAGGTTCTGGGGAGAGGGGGGAATCTCAAACTGTCAAAAATGTGCATTTTCTTCACATAATATACAACTCTTTACATATTAGAATACTGAGCATGACTAGCAGGAACCCTAAATATCTATCAGTAAAAGCCAAATTTGAACCCAGAAATGGACGTGGGCAAGCAGAGATTAGTGTGCTACCTCTATTGCACATCTTCCACTTTTAATGCCCAAACCCAAGTTAATTACCAACACCCCAGAATTAACCAATAACAAAGTATAGATTTATTCTTAGTTGTCCAGACTTTTAAATACCTTGCATGCTCTGTGAATCTGTGATGTGCAAACCAGTTTATTCAGCAGATTGCACAAGGGAAAGAGAGCTTGCCCCCACAGCACCAAACCATGGCTTAAAATTAATTCTGTGAACTGACTGTGTTTGATTTACTACTTCACAATTTTAATTAACTGTAGCTTCTCCATTCATTCAAAAGCTTAATATTCAATGTTATAAATTATGTAACCAATTCAATAGGACATATACATTTTAAAATCTTATCAGAACAGAAATCGCACAACTTTCAACTATTCAAAACTATCCCATGCCTTCCCTAAAACTGTTATTATGCAAACAAATTTTTAAGAGCTAAATGCATACAACCCAAAGATCAACTTTCAGAATACTATTTTTAAAATATCAAGTAATGTTAATCACCCACACTTGCCAATGCATCAAGTTTGAGACAGTACCAAGGTAAAGGTAAATAACTCAAAGCAGAGGAAAAGCCAAGGAACACTACAGGATCATAATCCAATAACCTTTACTCAATTTTCTCCCACATATGTAATCCAATATTTAAAAATAAAATTGTATTTAAAATTTGCATCGTATTCTTCATAGAACAATATGCTAACTGTGAGGATCTTACCAGAAGGTACTACAACATTTGTAGGTTTTAAGACATTCTTGCCATCTACTATTTGAAAGTACAAGTTACAATTACTGAGCACTGACTTACAAAAATCACTAGAAATTATATTACCAACATACAGTAGACTCAAGCATTCAGTTTCTTGCAAATTCTTGTTTGTATTAACATTCTTCAAGCTTACTAGCAAACTGAATATTGTACTACTTGTTTTCCATACTAGGACTATTGCTATGTGTTTCATCATCTTCTCAATGTCAGTCCTTCGATACAACGTTCAGCATTAAGTGGACAACTGAGAATCCCAAAGGTTTCCTAAAGAAAACTAAGCTGAGACATTCTACATGAAGCTCTAAAGTCAGAGGGCAAAACAATTCTCCACACGAGTACAAAACCCCAATGACAGATCCCCATAACACACAACAGGGCTCTTTTTTGCTCGCTACCCACCCCCACCAGCACACATAGATGCTGCTGATTACAAGGAATGAAACACTGAGTGAGCCATCCATTCAGCTGCTCACTCCTCTACCCCATACTGCATTTCTCAACAAGGCACAGGCCTCTCTGGAGGGCCTCCCAAGTATCACCACAGGGGGGGGGGAGGGAGGCCTCCAAAGCATGCCTTCCTGTCCAGCTCATTCAGAGAGGGAAATCTCTCTGACATTTCTGGGGGGGGGGGGTGAGTTTGCAGGGGCCTAGAGATATTCAGTTTTTCCACTTTCAAAGGGATTATGTGCCCCTAGCCCCAGCGAATGTGGAGGGCCAACTATATGTGATCCAACTTAGATATAAATTTGATTTAAAGACTAATTTCCATTTTCTCAGGAATTGAATTTGTTTGTAATCTGGAGACTGCATGTAATTACAAAGGAACATTTGTTGTATAATGACTAGAGCTGAAGCTAGGAAAAAATGCTAATCAATTCTGACAAATACAACTGCCTATGTATAAAAAAAATAATTCTGATGAAAAATCATGTTGATTCACAAAAACAGAAATACTATTAAGCAACATCACTAACAGCAAATAACAGCCAATGAGTTAAATAAGTCATGGACTGTGAGAGAATGAGCACACTACCTGAAACACATTCACTAGTTCCATTTTCCATTAACAACTTACAATTGGCTCATTCACAGGTTGCTCTGACATGTGAACCTGAAGTGGTAGGTTGTTTAGGGGCTTAACATCCCAGCAAATAACCTGATAACAAACCATTAACCACTAAATAGCCCATCCCAAAGACTACCACAATGTTTAGCAATTCCAAGTATGAGTTTTATTGAGAAATATGAACAGCTAAAAACTTTCATTTTCCTTTGGAAGGCACTATTAGTCATTGCTTGTATGCAGGGTGCTAACTAAGTGGGCTGCTGGTTCTGTATAGGAAATAAATGTAATTGGGCTACTGCCTTGTGGGTCTGGATGCGATTATAGGAAATTGGGTGCTTATGTGTCAACAGGCATTTCCAGGGCTGTATTTGAGAGAGAAGCTACATTTATACTAGCAACTACAACACAGGCAAGTTGGGAAAAATAATTCTGCGGTTGTTATTTTCCCCAAGTGACAGCACGTGTGTAATGGGTCCAGATCCATTCAGAAATAGTTGAATGGATATCTGAAACTTCCTCCTGAGATGCTCATTTGGATGCTAAATTCAAGGGAAGCTGCTGAAGCTCATTTGCCTGTCCACTGATGGCAATGGTATTATTTCCAGCTTCTGGTCTAGGTAGCTCAGGTTTGTCTGAAATGATCACATCCTTCCCTTGACTTGCAAATATTGTGCAAGATGCAGCAAGCAACAAACATATCTGGAACAAGCTCTTCCTCTGCATCTAGGAGCACATGCGTTAGTTAAAGCTTTTCTGTAGGTACATCCTCAGAGGCTGGAATGGTGCAATTACACCATGGTTGAAGTGCAAATGCCTTGTCTGAAAAGAGAGGATACAAGGCTGGTTATCATGGGGGTGGGCAGGGTGAGATAAACAATCTGCTCCTTAGCTGGCTTGTCTGTCAAATGTGAGTTCCAGAAGACAGGCTTGTCATGGTCTCACCCCAAAACTCCTACACAAATGCCCATTGTTTTTTAAAGTCCACAGATGCCAAAATGCTATAAAAGCATTTAAAGTTGCAGAACTCCCCAATCCATCTAGGAGAATCTAAAATACATATAGGCAAGGAATCCAGGATCCTGCTGTCTGAGGAGACCCCAGTTTATGGACACCCTGCTCAGGGAAGACACTCAATGCTGGAAGGAAGTATATACAAAGTCAGCCCAAAACAGTTTATTTTAAAAAACTGATATGAATTTTCACATTACAATGTCTGAAACAATGGATTACAGGTCTGACTAATGATGCTATGATTTCAAACATGTGCAAAGTTCTGTGAATATGGCATCATTCCAAGCACCCCCATCCAGAATTAATGTGCACACAGCTTCTTTGTGTCAAAGTGACTACTGACAGCCAACATCTGTGATGGCCCCTGTGAAATCTGGCAGCAGCCATGATATAGTCTTCCACAGAAGCAGATACTTCCATGCACAGCAGGCTGCTGAACCATCCCACATGCAGCCTGAAAAACTAAACAAAGTAGCACTCCTCCGCCCTCTTGCATCTGTACTTGCAGCATCCAGGTGCAGTGCAGCCATTAGGGAATGCAGCACAGGTGTTACGCACAATGGTGCTTGATGACCTCATGCTGCTCACTGTTTAAGTGGTAAGGGCTTCTAGAGCAATGTCAATCATCACAAAAATAAATGCTA